GCTTGTAAAGAGGTTTCTTCTTAGTAATAATAGCAAAAATAAAAGAATCCTGGCCTTCTCCTGAAGAATTCCACCTGTCCTCAACCTGCACTGGGAGGTGCACATACAGTTATTAAATAAAACAAAACTGAATGCAAGGCTGGCACTACGGCAAAGGGCTCATTTATTATAGGCCAATATTTCGGCTAACAAAATTAGCCTTCCTCAGGGCCAGAACTATACTGAGAGAAAATTAAATGCAAGAGTTATTAAATGCAATAGCCTGATGAGCTTATAAACAATAATTATTATTGGATGAGGTTTCTGTGATATCCAAAATAATCAAGGACAAGGTAAGTGCTATCAGCCGAGCCGAAGGCTGAGGCTGATAACACTTACCAAGGTCTTCATTATTACAGATATCACAAAAAACCAAATTCAACGATTGTTTTGTTATACATTGTTTTGAAGAAAATAAGGACAAACACAGCATCGTATGGAACACAGTTTGACATTGCTCTTGGAAATCATGCAATGCGTGTGTAACCTAGAGATAAGTAGCTAATCTGCTAGCAGATAACTAACTTATCTGCAGGTTGCGCTGATTTCCAAAATTAACCGTGGGCTCTAAGCCAATGAGAAGACAGAGAGTGATAACGATATATATAGAGTATAACACAATGTTAATTATTTGCATTATTGTATTAACGTTCTTATTTGAACTATCTTTTAATTTGAATAGATTAACTTTTAATGCACAGCCTCACTGAAATCGGAATTATGAATTATGAATTATGTACCAAATTAAGCTTGTCTATCTTATAAAAGCAAGCCAAGCGATTTTTGTAATTGTCCCTAATTTAAACTAATATAACTTTATAGGATCAACTAACCAAGGAGAGGCGAAGGTGAATCCGGTACAAATGAGAATGTAGAGGCATACACTCTGCCACACCTTTGTAGTGTCGCTCTTGGTTTCAATGTTCCCGCCAACTGATGATTCCTTGCGCTTAGAAGATTTCTCAGGCTTCGAGCAGCCGCCGCCATATTGAAAGCGACTCTGGG